CAACATTGAATGAAAATTGACAGTTACTGCATTTTGAATATAACCGCTAATTAGTAGATACCTTGAAATAAAAAGTGCTCCATTGAACAATTAAAGATTTTTATTACAACATCAAAAAGATATTAGAACTAATCTTGCATCTAGCGGTGCATCTCACGCAGCGTCTTGAGCGAAACATGTGATTTCTACGTGGCAGTCAAAGGATTAACAAATCCAACGTCTGAGAAAAGATTTCGATCCTTTACGTCCGTATACAATGGAAAATGACGCAGAACTGACCGCCAAGAGTAGAGAAAGACCAAAAGCCTACAGCTCTCAATTGTTTCAGCTATCAGTTTCATCGCTCCATGACAAACAGACAATGTATAACGTTGTCCTTCGATAGAATCCTCAAAACTCTGACAATTCTATCCAGACCGTACACCTCTGCTTCTTAACAACCTGACGACCGAGTATTTGATCTCCATCCTTTCAGGTAGGACTGGACATATAATTAAAGATTAGCTCTTAGCTCTGACAAGGAGAGTGCAAGTCCTTCGGGTCATAGATTTAGTTTAGAAACTTTGCAGATTTGTAAATTTAGTCATCCAGTTAAAGAAAATGTATCATTATAACCAGTCGATAGTTTTCCAGATATTTACGATTATAATTTTATTATTGCCTTAATTACAGATTTATTTCGAATATTTATCAAGTGTCTTTAGGCTGCAATGCCACTTAATAACTATTTATAACTAGTCAAGAATAATAAAACTTTAATCACAAATATCTCAAGAACTATTGAGTAGTTGCCCTTATAATGGTACATTCTCTTGAACCAGATGACTAAATCTACAAACCTGCAAAGTGTCAACTAAATCAATGTCCCGAAGGACTTGCACTCTCCTTCTGAGTAAAACTACCTATGACATTAAGTCTGTTACTAAAAACCTAAATTGATATCCTTCATTGAACATTGAGGAATAGTATTTTTCTTATATTACAACGAAATCATATTTCCACGAATTTCTTCACGGAAGAATGCCCAGCAAAATGGAAATCCCCGTGACTGATCGTCAACATCAACGCGTTAACCCTCTATTTGGGTATTTTATTAAATACTGCATTCATCGTTATCGTCTTGATCACTCCAGTTCGTGATTTTTCTTTCGATATATTTATAATTATTGTTACAATACCTCCCGTGGTTCCATTTTTAAAAATTCTAATTCTTTTTCATTTACCGGTTATTCGACCATGATGGATTAGGTCCTCTATGGCCCCCTATGACCTTTTCTCCACAAGATGGCGTGGAAAATTATCTTGTATATCTATTGCACCTTATCTTGGCACAATAGTACAACCATTGTTAATTCGAACTTTGAATACGAATTCGTTATAATAAAATTGTCAAAACTGCTGAATTTATTGCTTTTATATTACATAGAATTCTTATAGTCAAGAAAAATATATATTCGGTCCATCGAGGGTTAACAATCCGACAAGAAAATTCCACTCTGTCCCAACGAGCAACCCTAAACTTCCAAGACCCAAGGGAACGAAGGTGAAAGACCTGGTCAAACCGCGTGACACGTTAAGATTGTCGCAGAATGTTCCAAAAATCCTACCATTAGCCAACGAACGACCCAAAAGCTCAAAGCCCCGAGACCACGAAGTCTAAAGTAACCCAGTGAACTGGATCCCAGCTTACAAGCGTGAACCAGGCGCCACGTGTAACCAGCATTGTAATCAAAGACAAAAGAGAAACACAGGAGCGCGCTCATGGCGTGTTCCCCGGAGGTCAAAAATACGGTGACAGGCAAAACGCGGAAAGATAGACGTAGAAGCGGGTACGCGTGCAGGCAGAGCGTGGTGCCGGGCATTGTCTTTGACGTTACGTTGCCTAAGTGACTTGTTTCCACGCTTTCGTGGCTTTCGTCCATATACGGCTGGCTACTACTCCGACTAGTCCGAATCCACGCGTTACGTGCCACCGGCAACACGTCGTCGTGCCACACCGTGCTCTGTACCACACGACCGGGAAAACCGATAATCTTCCGATGGAATAATTGCAGCCGGAAAAATTGACATCGTTACACGGTTGAAACGCCTCTGTTTCACGCTTTCCCGGCTACAGGGCGTCGTACGATTGCGTATAAGCTCCACGCGTGGCAACGATCTCGCGCGAGTCTGTCGTGCAGAAAACGCTCGTTGAAAGTCACCCGTGTATACAGCCGTGTTGGATGCTCTAGAAAATTGCGAGTGTAATACAGGAAGATGATCGGAACTGGCGTGTTTTCGAACGCCTGAAACGTCCGGGTTTGTTTTTCCCGTTTCTTCGCCACTCGGACAACGTTCGACGGAGTGATGCTAATGAAATTTTCATGAGCTACGAGTGACATAAGAGCGTGACTCAGCGATAAAATTGACGATAGGAAGGACGAAAAAGTTCTGAATTCCGGCGGAATTCCCAGCGATGGGATACACGCGGCAGAACGTGCGAAATCCTTTTTCTATTTATTCCTTTGTACCTGTCGATCGCGGCGGTATCGAGCCGTCGAAAGAGAAAAGTGGCGCGTTGATCACGGAACAAAAGCATCGCGTCGAACGCGAAAGCGACAAGGTGAAAAATGAAATCGGCAGACGCCGTCGACCAGGAGTTTGTCAGCGATCACGCGACCCCCCGATGTCGGCGCGTTCCCATCGGTTTTCACGGATGGATATATCGTTGCCGCGATCTTGGATCCCATGGCGCGCGTAAAAAATGCATTTGAAATTCAGAATCGTGCCCCGTGGCCCGATTCCAGCGAAATCCGCGGAGAAACGCCTGCGATCGTGAGCCTCCACTTTCATCTTTTTCTTTTTCCCTCCATTTTTTCTCTCCCCCTTTCTTTCCTTTCTTTTTCCGCTTTGTTTTGAATTCACTCTCCACCAGAGGCAGAGCCACCACGAGAACCTGCAACGAGGAAGGTAGGTGCGTACACGCAACGCGAATCGCTAACGTTACTCGCGTTAACGAGTAGACTGCCATTTCAAGCGAGCACTCGTGCAACCCGTTCCACTTGGCTGTTTCCGAAACGTTCGAGTTCGATTACGGCTTACGACGAATCGAGACAGACGGACGAATATCGCATCGGCAGTGCAATTGACAAATAACGTGCAGCCGGGACTTTTATAACACGCTTGGTTCGCTTCGCGTTGCATCGAAGTTGAGCGAAACCTTAAACTTAAAAAGGAGGAATGCGCTCCATTTTGTATCGAAAACTCTTGGAATACTACGTGAAAAGTGCTAATTATTCGAAGAATTCGCGCTATGTGAAGGTTGCTCAAGTTTATGAAATCGTGCTGTATGGAAACCGTTGAATAAAAATACCGTGTTATAGCACTGTCGCAATTTTTGTATCGCGTTGTATCAAAACCGTGCTCTCAACGGACCGTGTTATTAGAGGGTCGACTTGTATATTTAAATGTACGAAAATAGCAATCACGGTATTATGATGAAAATTACGTTACTAGAATAAAAGCTGACTCTGAATAATAAATTCGATAACTGCTGAAATTTTTGGTACTTCCAATGTTACGGCAATTTTCATGAAAATAGCCATTGCGTTTTTGAAGATGTATACCAAGGTCGTATAAAAGCTGACTTTAATTTTGCAAAATTTCCCCGTATTCTGAATAATATATTCGACAATGCTAAAATTTTTGGTACTTCTAATGTTACGGCAATTTTCATGAAAATATCTCTTGCATTTTTGAGGATGTACACTAAGGTCGTATAAAAACTGACCTTAATTTTGCAAAATTTCCCCGAACTCTGTATGATATATTCGATAACTGCTAAAATTTTCGGTACTTCTAAAGTTACGACAATTTTCATGAAAATAGCCATTGCGTTTTTGAAGACGTACACCAAGGTCGTATAAAAGCTGACCTTAATTTTGCAAAATTTTCCCGTACTTTGAATAATATAATCGACAACTGCTAAAATTTTTAGTACTTCTAATGTAACGGCAATTTTCATGAAAATAGCCATTGCGTTTTTGAAGACATATACCCCAAGGTCGTATAAAAGCTGACCTTAATTTTGCAAAATTTACCCGTACTCTGTATAATATATTCGATAACTGTTAAAATTTTCGGTGCTTTTAAAGTTACGGCAATTTTCATGAAAATACCTATTGCGTTTTTGAAGACGTACACCAAGGTCAATTAGTGGACGTTATTTTTTCTTCTATTTTTTTTTTCTTTTTTTTTTAATGATTCATGCGTTTATCAACACGCAATCGTCGCATAACTCTATACTATTCATAGGCCAGTTAGGGACTTCTTATTCTATTAATACGGGATAATACGGTGACTCCCTTAATGCGAGCTTTCAGCGTAATGAAACGGTGTGTACCGATCCATGTGGGAACTGTAGAGGCAAACCACGCCTCCACGATTAATCTAATAAAACCTTCCTTTACGCAATGCGAATCGCTGCTGTTAATCTTCCGACGAACTGTTACGGCGTATCGCTTTCAGCTATGCCGTCCTCTCCATTGAAAACCAAGCTATCAACGATTTTATCGGCCTATATCAATTTATTTTCTTTCTGTTTAACAGGCTACCGTAATCGTGCCCGATTATCGAACACTTTCTTTATCTTTCCAGGCCACGAATTGATATAACGGATAACGAGTTTATATTGCGTTTACTCCTCGAAATTTCAGCCACGAAACAACAGGAAACACAGGTTGGAAATAAACAACAAATAAACGCTGAAACTACCAACCTATAACGAATGCTATATAACATGCATAAATAACTACGTAATTATATGATTATATAATTATATACTTATATATAATTATATAATTATATTCATATCTGGAAAAAAAACAATTTCATCAGGCGCAGCATGTAACGTAAAATTACGTAAACTGAACGTGAAAATAAAAAGTATGGAACCAGCCGTTTTGACTAGTATGGCGATCCTAGCGTTAACGTCGAGACGAAATTTGATAAAAAAAACTCACCTCTAATTTCGACGAATATTCCTCGGCGAGAACCTCGCTCTGTCTGGTCAGCTCCTGGTTCCTTTCCAACAGCGCTTTGCCCAATTCGGCGGCTAAAACGAGGTCCCAATTTACCCGTACTCTGTATAATATATTCGATAACTGTTAAAATTTTCGGTGCTTTTAAAGTTACGGCAATTTTCATGAAAATACCTATTGCGTTTTTGAAGACGTACACCAAGGTCAATTAGTGGACGTTATTTTTTCTTCTATTTTTTTTTTCTTTTTTTTTTAATGATTCATGCGTTTATCAACACGCAATCGTCGCATAACTCTATACTATTCATAGGCCAGTTAGGGACTTCTTATTCTATTAATACGGGATAATACGGTGACTCCCTTAATGCGAGCTTTCAGCGTAATGAAACGGTGTGTACCGATCCATGTGGGAACTGTAGAGGCAAACCACGCCTCCACGATTAATCTAATAAAACCTTCCTTTACGCAATGCGAATCGCTGCTGTTAATCTTCCGACGAACTGTTACGGCGTATCGCTTTCAGCTATGCCGTCCTCTCCATTGAAAACCAAGCTATCAACGATTTTATCGGCCTATATCAATTTATTTTCTTTCTGTTTAACAGGCTACCGTAATCGTGCCCGATTATCGAACACTTTCTTTATCTTTCCAGGCCACGAATTGATATAACGGATAACGAGTTTATATTGCGTTTACTCCTCGAAATTTCAGCCACGAAACAACAGGAAACACAGGTTGGAAATAAACAACAAATAAACGCTGAAACTACCAACCTATAACGAATGCTATATAACATGCATAAATAACTACGTAATTATATGATTATATAATTATATACTTATATATAATTATATAATTATATTCATATCTGGAAAAAAAACAATTTCATCAGGCGCAGCATGTAACGTAAAATTACGTAAACTGAACGTGAAAATAAAAAGTATGGAACCAGCCGTTTTGACTAGTATGGCGATCCTAGCGTTAACGTCGAGACGAAATTTGATAAAAAAAACTCACCTCTAATTTCGACGAATATTCCTCGGCGAGAACCTCGCTCTGTCTGGTCAGCTCCTGGTTCCTTTCCAACAGCGCTTTGCCCAATTCGGCGGCTAAAACGAGGTCCCTGTCGCGTTTCTTCAAAAGTTCCACGGGGTCCTCGAACTCCTCTTGGTCTAGGGAATTTCGTCGCGCCTGGAGATCGGTGATCATGTCCTCCAAGGCGTACGGCTCCTGGTGGCCTTCCTTTTTCGGCAGCATCGTGCTCGCGAGTCGTTTCACGCCCGCCAGTTGTCGCTCGAGTGTCACGTGTCACACAAACGCGCGACGTTTATTGTCGTTCGTAATAATGACACACGCGGAACCAGGTAGTCGAATGTTCACACGTCAGAGTCATTTGTAATGTTCCGAACACGAGCACGATGGTCAACACGGACTATCCAAGAGAAGTCGTAAAACAGATCGAATGTCGCGTACGAGTCGATACTCGTGTAGCGATTGATCGACGTTAATAAATAAATACATATCTAAGATCTCACTCGAAGAATGGTGTCGTTGAAGCCTGTTCGAAATTCCCTTTCTGTCGAAGCAAATCGATATATGCTGCGTACGGTGTCCAACATCGAAAACTTGTATCGATTCCTCGATCAATGCACTCTTTCGGCAAGGTGCGTAACAATTTTCCACTACGTAGTTCAAGACTCGATGACACGTGACTTATCTATTCGAATAAAAAATATTAGAATATGTATAGGTTAATTACACACTGAATCAAAGTTTGTTTCGGGAACGCAATGGAATAATGAAACTACGGATAACCTATACATGAGTCACAGCGCTCACCTTCGAATATCGAGAATAAATGGCTCGACGTGTGCGGTGATAAGGACCGTTTACAAGTTCACTCTTTC